ACCTACACACACACAGTGAGGGGGGAGAGAGAGATAATAATAAGCTCTCCAGAAGCTACTAGTGCCCAACAAAGGGACAAACCAGTGACTCCTAGAACCTGGTTCTAGAGAGATCCATTTAGTCCTACTAGTGGCTGTGTATAAGCATTCTTACCCTTCCAGGCAGCAGGGCAGGCACACACCTGAACCGGCTGACTCCCATTGTCCCCACCAACTGGCAGGCTGCACCTCTGCTGGGGCAGGAGCTTGGGTGCTTCTCCTCTCTGCCGGAGCCTCCTCCCCTTCCTCTTCCCCTTCCTCCTCCCCTCTCTCCTCCCACACCCTCTCTCCCACCTGTTCCTCAGCCTGGAAAATGTGGGCATGAATGACTGACTGAAGTTAGAAAAGCAGGTGCTCAACATTGACTCGCTGGGGAACTGTGGGCCAAGCATGTTTCTTTTCTGGGCCTCAGTTTCCCTATTCATACAGTGAGGAAGTTGGGCCCTGGGTGATCTCTAGGAGCCATTTCAGCTCTCCGTGTTGTTTTGTCCATGAAAAGGAACTAAACAACATATTAGAAAGGGCACCCCAGAGTGAAAATATCATAGAAAGCTAGGAATGACTGACACTAAAGAAGCTTAAGCCAGAGCCCAGCCTGAACTCCCATTGTCCTCCCTGTGCTTGTGAAACTGCTTCAGTTCAAGCAGGACTCTCTCACCAAGTGCCTCTCCCTCAGAGGCAAGAGGCCCCCCAAACCACCTTTCATTCCTCAAGGAGCCCCAGAGGTGCAGGAGCAGCAGCAGTCCCTGCCTGTCTAGGGACAAGAGGCTAGAGGCCTTTTGGCTACGTGCCTGTGGCTGCATCTTCCCCCTTTTCCTCCAGCTCATGAGGACTAGAGATCCTAGAGAAGGCCACTCCTTAGTCCTAGTTCAAGGCCCAGGCTCCCTCTCCCTCATCCCACTGAAATAAGTAAACCCTGAGTTTCCTTCCAATTGCAATGCTGCCTCAGCCTGGAGCTGCAACAGGTACAGGCTACATCCACATGGGTTGGGGGTACCAGTACCCACTTAGGAAGTTCAGAATAGACTTCCCTGAGGGGAAAGCCAAAGCCCCGGCATAAACTGAGGAGTTAGAAGCCTGCAGCATGTGAAGAGGCCCAAGCCCTACTGAATGTCGCTTTGCATGGGATATTGGGCAACTAGCTGCTCGCCAAGCGTGTCCCTGGCAGACAGACAAGACCGTAAGTCCAGATGCTATCCCTGACTACATTCCGTGTTCCCCTGTGTCCTGGCCTGCAGTCCAGATCAGCATTCAGGAGCTGAGGCTAGCCTTGGGCCTGTCTCCATGGTGTGGCCTCCCAGGCCTGGTACCAGCAGCAGCAGGCTACTGTCCAATCAAAAGCTGCCAGGCCTGATGGGCCACTGCCATCCGGGATCCTGCCTCAGGGCAACTTCTGGACCTATGTCAGTCACCAAAAGAATCTACATTAAGGAACACCACAGACTTTTGACAATCTAACTAGGCAGGTTAGAAGGCTCCTACCATCCCACAGATCCAGGACAGATTTCTCCTTAGCCCCATTGCTCAGAGCCACGACCATCAGCCCCAGGGACCACACTGGCTCCCAGTGGCCAGGATGTCTGGCTTGGAAGGGACCTGACCTAGCTTCTCAGCAGTCTTGGGTACCTGCCTGAGAACCAACCACTGGCTCTCTGAGTCTCTCCATCATGCTGAACAGCATTGGATATGCACATGCTTCCTGGTCATACTGAAGCCACAATTTCTATCCTCATCTCACTGAATGCACTGGCCCCACCTACCAAGTCAGCCTCGCACGGGCTGCAGACACATACAAAGCTCCCTTCAGCAAGCATGCCCACCTCTACCCCTTCCTCTGACATTTCCGCAGGCTGCCTCCATTGCTGCCAGCACATCACAGGTAAAGCTCTGATCCCGCAGGCCACCTGGACACCTGCCAAACCAGAATCTACTCTTGGCTGTGCCTTGCCCAGCTGAGCCCAGGAGCTCAGCAGAGACAGTCTTGGGATAGGAGTGGAAGAGGAGGCCAGGAGTTCTGTGCTTCTAGGGTAGCTCTGCAAAGGGAAAGGCTGGGGGCTGCAGGACTAGGGGCACCCTGACTTGGAGTCTTTCCTTGTGCAAATGCTCTCACTGGGGAGGGGGGCAATTTCAAACTCTTAATGTGTCACTGACTAGAACAGGGAAGCAATGCACATAGCTGGCTACCCGGTGCCACACCACCACTGAGCCACCAAACCTTAGGCTCTCCAGGAGGCCACCTGCCTAAATGGCTGGACCTTCTTGAAGAGCTGATTCCATCTCCTTGGAAACTGGGGAAATGATAGACAGTGGTTTTCACTGGGCCCACGAGCTCCATCTTACAGAGGAGGAAGCTAAGGCCCGAAGAGGCGAGGTGACCTCTCAGCCTTACCAGGAACACGAATGTGTGACAGCACTGGGAGAGAAGGCCACAGGATTCCATGGAAGACTTCTGGAACCTCCTGTTCTCTCTGACCTTCCCTTCTTTCCAAAGCTTCTCAGAGACACAGAAAAGCTGAGGCCCGGGGGGGGGCAGGGGGGGCAGGATCTGGCAATTTCCTATCTCTCTCCTGTTGGGCACTATCTAATTAATCCTTAGGTCATCTATTGCTAAGAGGGGAAATTAAATACTAATAAGGTCCTGTTTCCTCATGATTGCCCCTTGTTAAGGATGGGGCAGAGGGCAGCTAGTGTCCCATGTAAAGTATAGATATGTTGCGGGACATCCATGATATGCCTTGAAAGAACAATCCCAGAGGATTCCCAGTAGTTAGAGTCAAAACTGCACCTCTCCCACCTTCCTTCACCACTACCCCCTTGCCACCACACTGATTTAAGCACTTCAATGAAATCGTCACTTAATCCAAACCCATACATCTGGCCCACCTCTTCTGGCTCCTCATAAATCCAACCAGCAAGTCCCTCAGTACACACGCCCAGATGGTAGCTGTACCCTTTTAGACTGCTGTTCAGAGGCACCCACTATCTTCCAGGCAGGCCCTGTACACCTAAGCCTAGTTGCAGCCTAGGACAAGGAATGGAGCCGTGTCGAGATTCTACCCACTGCAGCCATGCTGGACTCCCAAATCCCAGTCTTAGAATCCTCTTCCTTGTAGCCAGTTTTCCCCACTTTCCTACTCTACTGTGCTACAAAACAGCCCAAACTTTGGGCCCCGGGGAGCTCTGTACTGTCTGCTACCGACATGCAGGCCCTTATACTGCACCAAGGATCTGGAAGCAGGAGGAAGCCCAGGAAAGTCTGAGTGGCATCCACCACTTTGGGGATTCAGGTGCCCACAGGCCATATCCTGTTACCAGGAGCTAAACTCCCATTTCAGATGGACGGCAAACCCCAATTTCAAAACAAAATTAAAGCTAAGAAACACAAGCAATAGCATCAAACCACAGAGATTAGTATCTTCAAAGAGGAGGGTCACGCAGTAGTGCTATAATGATGTGTGTGTGTGTGTGTGTGCACACGCGTGTGCATGTGTGCATACGTCCATGCACAGGCTGATCCTGGGGCTTAAACTCAGGGCCCAGGCACCATCTCTGAGCTGCTTTTGCCCAAGGGCTCTACTCTACCACTTGAGCTACAACACCATGCCTGGCTTTTTCTGAATAGTTTATTAGAGATAAGGGTCTCATGGACTTTCCTGCCTAGGGTTGGCTTCAAACCATGATCCTCAGATCTCAGCCTCTTGAGTAGCTAGGATTCTAGGCACGGGCCACCAGCATCCAGCACCATAATGATTTCTAAAGACATTTCAGGTCCTCAAAGAAACAAAGCATCCGTAAACAAGGAGAACTTATCAAGCCATTGGCAGAAACAGGAGTAGGCAAATATGAACAAAGAAAGATGAAGAAGAGATCCTTGGCATGAAGAACAGAAGGACTGACATAAAGAACACACCAGATGTGATGGATTTCAGGCCTGCGGGCGCTGAAGAGGACAACTGGGGGTCTGAAGACAACCCAAGGGAATTCTCACAGAGACCTTGTCGAGTCTGTGTGAGAAGCAACAGACATACACACGGAAGGGAAGAGAGAAGCACCAGCATTGGTGTTTCAGGAGCTCAGCAGGCATGTGGAAAGATATGAGACAGAATGACAGCTGGGTGGGCTGAGTGGCTCCTTGCACGAGCCCTGCAGTGGCATCGCCATGACTGGACTTGAGTTTCCAGGAAAGCCTGGGACCCACAAAGCCCACCTCCTCCCCCAAACACATCAGCTAGCAGGACAGGTGCTTTCCTCAGTTGCCTGGAACTGAGCCACTTACAAAGCCCCGGGCTTCCCTTCCCTCCTTACTTCCAGCACCTGAGGCAGGCTGGCCCCAGGTAGCAGGGCAGGCAGCTGGGTGTGCCTCTTCCCCCACCGGCCTGTGGCTGTGCTGCTACTGTTGTGCTCCTGGGGGCAGGATGTGGGCAGGAAAAGAGAAGCAGCTGCAGGTGGGGAACAGGGCAGCGTGCTGTCCCTGCTTCTGCTTCACTCCCAGGACCAACGGGACTGCCCGAGAAAGCCAGAGGTGCCCAGATATCTTGCCTGAGGCAGCCACTCACCGATCACAGGCTACTTTTGCAGACAAACCGCCTGGACGTGCTGAAAGATCAATCAGTGGTGGGAGCAAAGGGAGGTCGGCCCCAGCTCCATCACCAGGCTTCCCCTCTGCATGTGGCTCCCCGCGTGTGCCAGCACCATGTGAGGCTTGGCACCTGCACCTCCCACAAACAGCTGATCACAGGTACTGTGGGTAGTGTGCCGCCTGAATAGGGGTTGACGGAGGAGGTCCTTGGCACCCAGCCCCCAGCTGCTGCTAAGTGCAGTAAGGATGGAGGGACATGGACACATGGTTGGGGTCCCTTGGACATAGGTGTGATGAAGAAACCCTGGAGGCTGAAGGGAAAGGGTGAGGGAGCTGCACCTACTTGAGCATAATCTACCTGAACCCTATCCCTCCCCTAGCTTGGCTCATGGCCACAATGAGGCTAGAAGTGAAATCTGTGAAGCCTCTGGGCAGCCTACACCCTGGGGGAGACACCCTAGCACCATGGCTGGTCTCTTCTTGCCCTCCCCACTTCCCCAGGCAGCCTTTCATCCAGACCACAGTTGCTGCCAAAACATCAGCATCACACAACCACAGAAGGTTCCAGCCCCTGCCCAGCAGCCTCCACAACAGACCTGTCATGCAGGATTATAGGAAGGCATGGGGGCTCAGAAGGAATCTCTGCAGGGCTTCTCAGAGGAGGGGGTCATTGGGCTGCACTTTGAAGAAGGAGAAAAGAGGGACAGAATTCACCAAAGAAATCAGACTGCACAGCTCTGTGCTGCATCAGAGAAAGCCCATGACAACCCTGGAAAGCTGCAGTCTTACCTTCCCAGGCATGCAGGGGTGAGGGGCTGCAGCTCTGCCACTCCATCTGGACCCTCCTACATCCCTAGCAGGTTCTCATGACTTCCAGAATGTAGAGTCTAAGGCTTCCTTCTCTGCCACCAAAGTGCTTCTTCCCACACCCAGGACCTAAGTCCTGCCCAGAAGGTGAGAATTCTTGAAGGGGCTCCTCTGAATATGAGCTCCATTGCTCATGTGACCTAGCAAGGACCAGAGACCCACCTTTCTACATTGTACCCTCTTTATCAGCATCAGTCTGCAAAGCCGTCCTTCCCATGCACACCCAATCTTGGGGACCAGGTTTGAGTTGTATGAAACAGGACAGATCTCATAATGATGCTAAGATGACAGCTGGAGCGCCTCAGGATGAAGTCAGTAGCTCAGGACCAGGCAGGTTAGAGAGTAACAAGGGCCCCTGTGAGGTTTCAGGTCCAGGACTTTGCAGATCCTGATGCTTTCTCTGGAGCCAACATCTCCCTCTGCCACAGCAATCTTAGTGGTATTCTCCAACCCATCCTCCAGGGCTTCCCAGTTGGAATACAGAATCCCCTTGGTCCCATCGTCTAGTCAACACTACCTCATTTCTTCTCCATTACAGTCCGAATGCCCTTTGGGCATTGCTAGGAACACTACCACCCTTGCTTGGCAGATGAGAAAATGGATTCCCAGGATAGTGACCCAGCTCAAGACCACTCGGTGAGCCAAGTGAAGTCTCTGATCAGGGGTCCCTGATGGATCTGGTCCCAAATCTGATGCCTGCCAGACACGTGAGAGGGCAGCCCAGACCTGAGCGGACACACATTGACTGAGGTTTGTCTAAGGGACACTAGAATTTGGCAAAGCATGGGAGTCTCCTAAAGGCAATGGCTGAGCTATGAAGGTGTAGCTACCATAGATGAGGGGACAAATCCATGAGGAGTCTTTGCCACAAATGTGCTAGGATTCAGGATGGTGGAGAGACAATCCACAAGGCCCAGCCTTCCCAGCCCCAGTTAAAGCCTCTGGCGCCAAGGAAGCAGCCCTTGATTCCACCATATCCTCACAGCCCCAAGTGCTCCCAAGAGCTCTTCGCCAGGATCGCCAGGGCTAGGAAGCTAGGAGCAGCCTGGGGTAGACATGGATTCAGAATCTTCTAGAAGGGGCAGTCTAGGAGCTTAGCGAGAACTGGATGGCAAGGCCAGGACAGGCCTGAGCCCCCCCCCCCCCCCCGGCCAGAGAGCAGCAGACGCCAGAAGAGCGGGTGCAGCTTTTGGGGGGAAGGAGAGGGAGATGTACCCCCCTCATCCACGGGTCAGGACAATGCCGTCCTGGGGGACACTTGGCTACTGCGCGCTTGTTGCTTTGGGACACTTGGGTTTCCTCGATCCCCACCTCCAGCAGGGAAATTAAAGTATAAATGCCTGGACGAATTGACAGGCTCACCGAGGCCCCTCCGTCCCGTGGGCCATCTCATGGCAAATCCCTCCAGAGCCGTCACCATTCCCGCCGCTCTTCCTCCTACCTAGCGCGGCTAGCGGCCCCGGGCCAGTTCGAGGCGCTCCCC